CCCCCCCAGTTCCTGGCAGTCACTAATGTTTTTATGAATTTGCCTATTCTGAATATTTCATTTAAGTGGAATAATGCGATATGTGGCCTGTTGTGTCTGGCTTCTTTCACTTACCATGTTTCCAAGGTTCGTTTATGTTGTAGCATGTTTCAGCACTTCCTTTTTATAGTTGGATAATATTCCCTCCTTGGCCCCACTACATTTTGTTTTTATCCATTTGCCTGTTGATGGGCATTTTGGTTGTTTCCACCTCCTGGCTGTTGTGAGCAGTGCTGCCATGAACACGCATACACAGGTATTTGTTTGAATACCTATTTTCATTTATCTTGGGTAAATACCTAAACTGGAATTGTTGAGTCATGGTCATTCCATGTTTAACATATTATTGAGGAGCCTGTTTTCCACAGTGGCTGCACCATTTCACACCCCTACCAGCAATGTGCAAGAGCTCCATTTTCTCTGCACCCTCAGCAACACTTATTTTCTGGTTATGAGTGTGAATTCCTCCTAGAGGTAGAAATTCTTGAACTGCCCCGTGACACCTTTCTCAATGTAAATGGGATCACCTCTTTGATTTTTCTCAATGATTAGAATTTCCTTTTTTATCATTGTTAATCTTTAACAAAACACTAGCGTTCCCCGCCCTGTTTCTTGGTTGCCTCCCTCATGCCCCACAGTTCTCTTCTGTCCCAACGTGCTTTGGGCTGTCGTCTCTCGGACGGCTGCTCTACACTCAGAAAGTGGAGACCAGAGAAAAAGTGAGGGCTAGAGTTGAAGGTTTGGCTTTGTCTACAGATGGACACTCCCAGCGCCAAATCCCAAAATAGATTAGTAGGAGGAAGGTTTTTATTTCAAACATAGGCAGCTGTCCTCCCCTGTCACCTCATGTCTCCTCTCCTAAACTTCACCTCGCTGTCTCCCTAGTTCTGTGCCCTTCGGCAGATTACTCCACCCCTCTGCCTCAGCTCTGTCTGCAAGAGGGGCTAACTGAAGCACCTGCCTCAGAAGGTTGCTGTGAAATAAGTCTATATTTGCAAAGTGCTTAGAAGAGTATTAGCGAATATTAAGAGATGAAACGGATGTTACCTGTGTGGTGGTAGCACAGTGGGGATGCAGTTGCCCTTGTCATTGTCCTAGTGCTCAGTAGACCAGGAGCTGCCCATTTCTAGAATGAACAGTTGGACATGATGGTGGCCAGGACAGTTTATGGATACCGAAGGTCGGGAAGTTCTCGATTGACGTTAAGGGTTAGGAGGGGATGTGAGCCCGTGAGCTTGCAGCAATAGTAAGAGGCATCTGGGCTTTGTTCAGAGCCCCAGAGTGTATTTCCAGTCTTTGCCCTCTCCTGGCGGCAGTTGCCACGGGCAGCTTCCAGAGAGTCCAGTGTCGCTGCTGTGACCACAGCTCCCCAGGTATCTTAGGAAGCCTTTAACATTTTCTGATTGTCTAAAATTTTACTTTGACATAATATTTTAAATTATTTTCAAATCTGATCTAAACACAGTTTCAACAGTATCCACTCTTGTTTTGTAGCCTGGGAAGAGAAATGATGGTTTTTTATTTTAGGTGTATTATTATTTTGTTTTTAAGTGAATTTACATGACACTTGTATCAGCAGATAGAAAGATGCACTTGTGTTTTATCTACATGTAGTATGTCTACAGACACAAATACTGTAGTTTTCAGTAGGTAATTTACACCTTGCTAATATCCTTTTCTGTCATGAAGATTAGTATGACTGTGTATATGCCGCTCTGAATAAATGAATGCATCAGCATTTAGCCTTGAGGAGTTCAATGTGATTTTCATCGTGATAAATTGCATAATAAGCAAGAAAATGTTTGCTTATTAATCTGTAACAAGATTTAGATTGAAAATGGCCTATTCCACCCGTGACACACTCGGCCCAGGCTGCAGAAGGCTGAGCCTGGAGAAAGGGAGCGGGGCGTGTGCGGGGCTCCCGCGCGTCTCACACTCACGGTGCCCTCCCGCCGCCCCCCTGCCTACTTCACTGCGGGCACTGATGACGGTGCTCCGCCGCCTGCTTCTGACTGCGATGTTAAGCCCGCTTCATTAAGAAGCTCATGCTCTGTAAAATTTCAGTTCATGTTTATTGAAAAAGAAAACACGCAGGCAGTGGCTCCCTCCTTCCCATTCTTGTGAGTTTATGAGGGGCGGGGCGTGAGGGACGGGCCTGCTACCTGGCCTGGAGAATGCCTCTTATGGCAGCTTCCCTCTTCCTTCCTCCTGCATATCAGCATCCTCTCTCAGAGGAGACTCCTGGGAGGTCTGCAAAAACTGTGTATGGCTCAAGATGAAGCAGGTGTTTTCCAGAATTTATAATGCCTTTATTTTAGAAATATGACTTGGAATTTTACATCTTTGAAATCAAAATCTCACCAGCTATTTTCTCATGTTTTCAAATATTTTGCCAAATTTTAAGCTATGTTTATTAATTAAGCAAGCATTTCTTGAGTAGCTAATGTGGAGAAGGGACGATGTTAGATAGTATACATAGCTGTAAAGTTGCAGAAAACAAAGACCCTGTCTCCAAGGCACTGCAGTCTTCTAGGAAAGCTGAGATCCGCCTGGAGAGAGCAGGATACGAAGGGAGGAGAGGAAAAGGCCTAGACGTCCGGAGCATGGGGAGAGATGGACAGCTGGGTGGTCCGGAAGGGAAGTGGGCAAAGAGGAGTTTCACATGGACCTTTCATTTGGATGATTATGAGGAGAGGAGGGGAAGGACAAGGGCACGCAGAAGGACAGAGATGGGCCAACATAGGTGTGCCCCAAAGATGCTGAATTGTGAAAGTAATGTTGCTTTTAAAGAATTTTACCCATTAATTCCTTGGAGAGCTTAAACTGTGGGATGCTCCCATTTAAACTCGAGCACAATTTCCTTCCCAGTTACCTCTGGGGAATAGGATTAGCGTCAGAGAGAACATTGGTTTTACCTTTTACTTTATAAAAAGAGTGCTAGTGAGTTTTCCCCTTCCTTGAGCACCTGCTGCATACCTAGCAGTGTGCAGGGAAATGGATAGGGAACGCAGTCCTCTCGTTGAATGCTTGCCACCTGTGAGATTTTGTGCTACACACTCCACAAGTGTTCCCATCTACACAGAGGGAAACTCAAGAAATGGGCTTTACCACCCCCATCTTGCAGATGAGAAAAATGTGAATCTTGTCTGTCGTTCACAGCAACACTGTGGTTGCTGAAAATGATGGGGTTCAAACCCGGGCCTCACTGACTCCAACAGCCATGCTTCTAACTCTGGACCACCTGCATTCAAAATCTAACACCCACAGAGTTACAGACCAACCAAGTACTATATTAAAAACAGCCTAATAAAAGGATGGAGAGTGGTCAGCTCAGAATTTTCAGTGTACTTTCAGATTTTAAATATATATTTAATGAAATAATTTCCATCAAGAATGTTGTGCCTTCTACAAGTTAAAGGCCTATTTAAATATCAGGTAGGCTTCTTGACTGCCTATTTAAATATCAGGTAGGCTTCTGTATTATGCCAAATATTGAGTAGCTAATGTATAAGAATAAATATTCTTATTTATTCATAACTGTCAAGTAATTGACATGCAATACACATTTTAATAAGGCAATAGAATATTAGAGATTAAAATCTTCTTCAACAACATCTTATCCAATACCCTCAATATGCTATTAAGTAAAAATAAGGTTTAGAGAGATGAAACAACTTGTCCGAGGTCATGGTGGTACTATGAGAGCTATGACGATGACCTAGGTCTCCCTACTCCCTTTGCTGTGCCCATACCTTATGACTATGCCACCCTTTCTATGGCAGGTGACCCACAGGAAGAATCAGATGTGAGGGATTTTTTTAAATGAATCATTATGGGCAGCTTATTCATGATGAACCATTTAATTCAAAATAGAGGCTGCACTTCATTGA